CTATCGGTGTTTACTGACTGGGAAAATAAGTAGCGGAAATCTTCACTGCCTCCTGGACTATAATAAAGATGGGGATTTAAAACAGTCGATCGCCCTGTAATATGTATATGCATATGCATAATTTAAGTAAAATTTGTATTTCTTAAACTCATATCACGTTATATTTGTAGGTGACTGGTTGTATACTAGTTGGTATAGGAATATGGCTTCGAGTCAGTTATGAAGGCTATGCCACACTATTGCCTCAGTACGCCTTACTTAGCGCCGACGCCGTAGCCATTGTTGTGGGGACACTTGGAGCTTTGTCCTTTTGCTTGCTGTGGATTGTGGCTGCCAAAGCAGATGAAAATGCTGATAGCCTGTAAATTATGCTCTTAAAGAGATAACTTTACCAAACCACTCAAGATTAAATCTTATAAGTGGTCCCATAAAGTTAAATTTCGTTTTTTACTATCTACTCGTTTTAAAAATGATCGTTGCATGATGATAGTTTGTCGTCTCTTGATATTTTGTATTTCGTTCTCCTTGATGTGATAAACGCAGTTTTATTAATTTGCCTTGATCTAAGATCCTAATAGCAACTTTTAAAATTTTAATATCATTAACTTGCAGAAGAGGTTTTAAATACAGTACTCATTGATTCCTCATCCAAAATATGAAGAAAAGTTCCTATATAAACAAGGTGGAAATGCATAGTTTTAGAGTTACAGGATGTTAAAACTTTTAAAATTAGGTTTCTGTAATTATCTTAAATACCATTATTTTTTTTTTATTTGGGAAGTGCTGTTGGTTGGACTAACAGTAATATATAATATTAATAATATATACAGAATTGGCACACCTCATTCGCCTCGGTGGATTAGCCACGAAACGGAGAGATGTAGAAACAACATATTTTATGGGTATATGTGGGGAGACAATGTGCGCAATTTAAAATTATTTGAAATATACAGGGTGTTTCAGAACTAAGATCCATACCAAAGTTATATTTTTTTCTTATGGAACACCCAGGTATTTTATTTCATTTTGGATTCTTGGGCCCAAAAGGCATTTTATTATAGGGTTAAATATGTTGAAAATCTTTGGTTTTTGGGATATTTAGCCCTTTACTTCACTCTATATCTCTTGAGATACATTAAATAAAAAAATTCGTAACAACTACTATAGATATTCTGTAATTTAACTAGTGCACCCTATGCATAGTTTATGTATTTAAGAGATAGTTCCCTGCGCATAGTTAGCCTAAATTTGTACAAGGTGGCAGTCCGGTGCATAATTGCGTCGAGTGCAGGCGGGTGTTTCGACATGCAGATAAGTTTTTGACTTGTAAATGTGAGTGTATTTTTCAAATCCATTAACTTATGGTCAAGACATCAAAGAGAGGCATCAACTACTTCGACATTACAATATTTGTATTGTCTAATTATTTTCTGATTAGTTTTAATCCAGAAAATGATTAACGTATCTCACAGGATACACCGCCATGATCGGTATAAATAAAGAGATTTTTTAAATTCCGTATCTTACAAGATACATCGTCATGTTTATGTAGATATTTTCTTTAAGAATTTTTCTTTTACTCAAGGTTACAGAATAAAGAGAATATTATCAGTTCCAACTGGTTCAAAGAAAAATATACAAGTCTGGTTACTGAAGCTCATCATCTGAAGATGAAATACAACATACTTGCCGCCGTCGAATTGAAGAAAATGATACGTCCTCTGCGCCATCGATTTCTTCCTCGCTAGAAAATTTAAGTACCTATATTTTCCGAAAGCGAATCGCAAAATATAATAGGCGATCATATTGCTCTTTCTCTATGATATTGCTATGGAAAAGCTGTATACTTTTTCAGAGCATTTCAAAACAGCTGTTACTAAACCTGTATTAGTAGTAACCTAGGACCTAGAGGGAATCTGATTCACCAAACTCATCTCCAAGGACGGCCACACCGAATAGTTTAAGAAAACTGACGCCTTCCAATTTCCCGAAAATATCAGTCAGTGTTTCCCCGGCCAGTTTTACACGTCCTAAAAGACCCAGGCTTTTGAAAAAATGAATTGGTATTAGACGAAGTAAGCCTTCCCTAAATGGGAACGTAAACCATTTGAATACTGCGATACCAGTAGCGATACTATAGAAACAAAATTTGTCAAATTGAAAATTGACAAATTTATAAAATATTATAAAAAAAATATTTTTCTTGTTTTTAATCAATTTGGAGGGAGTGAAATATTTAGAGTCTGATAACAGCTTCAAAAAATGGTTGAGGTTCTTTTTCTCAAGTAGTATGCAATGAAAACAAAGTTGTTATCGTAAAATGGTACTAAATGGATTTTTTTTTTCGAATTTTAACCTACCTGTGTTATTAAAATAATATCAAAAACAATACGTTCTCTTTTGTTTGTTTGGTTGTTTAGTATTTCAATGTTAGTAATAATTGGCAATGTATATTTTAAGATACATTTATTATTTATCATTAGTTTCTTCAAAATATGTAATGTATCCTCTGGGATACATATAAAATCTCCACCAAGAGGAAAAAAATTTTTTTGCATTTTTTCCTAACTACATTGATGTTACTTATTTCATTAATCATAAAATTTTAGACAAAATCAGAAATATTTTCTTTTGCCAAGTAAAGGGTTAAAGATATTTAAATTTGCATGCTACAATAGAATAGATTATTAACACCCTCTGCATTACTTTTCAGAATTAATTTTTATGCTTAGTTTAAAGGTAAAAAAAAAGCTTTACTGAAAAATGGTATTGCTTCCTTAAATTTATACAGGGCTATCAAAAGTTGCTGATCTATTTTAAGGATATATTTTATATAAAAACTTCATTATTTCATGCAACACCCTGTATTTTTTTAAATAAATCGAAGCAGATTCAAATGCTCTTTCAAACTATATTAGGGTTTATTATACCTATCTAGGTCAGACTTTGAATAAAAAGCGATTTGTAAATAAAATTGCAATCAAGGTGTTGCCATGGTAATTTTTTAATGACAGTTAGTAACTATTTTCAAAGTCGACATTAGTTTATGGACATTATTATAGTTTAACAAATAAGTATTCATTATTTTATCAAGAAAAATAAAGCACTATCTGCTGGCGGAACGAACAGATATGTTACTAGTGATTTTATTTTGTGACGCAAATTGCTTCTTGGCCTCAAGGGCTTATACTCAAAGATATCAAAAGTATAAATCAGATATCAAAAGTATAAATTTCAGGAATCTTCCTGATAAGCGTTCCTTTGAAAAACTACTTGTCCTATTTCGCAGAGCTGATATTGTGGCTTATAAAACATCTATTAGGCAGAAACCTGTCGTTGGAAGTGAAGAAACCACATATACCCATAAAATATTTTGTTTCTACATCTTTTCGTTTTCGCATAATCAACCGAGGCGAATGAGGTGCGCCACCCTGTATAGTAATATTTAATAATAAATTAGGTAAAATATATAATTTATTAAGTTTGTTTTAGTTTTATTAATTGTGATTAAAAAAATTGCGTTTATCTCATCAAGGAGGCCGACAAAATATCAAGAGATAACTTTTAATTGGCGCATTGAATGGCCTGCACAATTTTGATATCAAAAGAAAATAGTCAGTGGCGCACATGTTTTTTTTTTTGAAATATATTCCAGTGATAACCCATATGCACGTCCCTGATGAATTTATCGATACTTTTTTATCATTATAATATGTAGCGCTTATAGTAACTTTTACCCTCAAAATTTCATTCAAATCGCTAAAAATACTTGAAAGAAAATTATGATAAATCGAAAGATTATTAAGACTTTAACACCCTGTAGCTACGAAACAAAGTCGAATCGGACCTATGTTGATATGAAAACTAAATCTCATTTTTACGTGAGGAATCTCCCCACGACAGATGGCACATGTTTTATGAAACACCCTGTATATTCGCTTATATCTCTCAAAATCTTTCCTGTCTTGTTGGACAGGTTATTATAAAATTAACTTGATATGTTTGAGAGAAACTTAAAAATAGAATGATTTCAATGATAACGACATTATAGTTATATTACTGGCAAGCTTCCTAAAAATAAAGTTCCCGCAATTCAAAATCAAATTCCACGGTTTGGTTTATTTTTTCCTCGTGCCATAACATTCATTTTCATTTTGATGTTGTATGTAAATAAACTTAGAGAGAAAATGAGGGGAAACTAATATTCTTCTGCCGCTGTAGTAGAATTAGGCTTACTGCCCAGTCCATTAAAATTGACGATTTGTATATTTACATGCGTTAGAGTACGCGTTAAAATGTAGCTGAAGTGCTAGTGATTAGTATTTCTTCGGTTTCTACACTCCTAAAAATAGGTTTGTTTGTAATTTACGTATAATGACCCTTTGAACTACATATTAATCTATAAAATATAGTCGTTCTTTGAAACTATTACTATACACAAATTACAAAAAATAAGACTTCCTTTATTTTTTTTTGAATTTCCATTCCACATTTTGATTTGATACATGCCGTAAACAAAATTTTCATAGCCCTCTTCGTTTCTGAGCTACAGGGTCTTTTTGAAAATTTTGCAATTTGGGACACCCCCCGTATATCTGTTATTGTGAAAGGTATCGAGAAGGTGAAAACTGTTTAATGTAGGATTTTTATAAAATTGAATAGATTGATATTTGCAAAGGTTACAAAACAGTACTATTTTCGTAATTTTTGATTTGGGTTTTGACAATAATTATTTATGTTGTTTGTAATGAAACGATATTTTTATTTACGTATTGATATATTTCAGAAAGGATTTAAGGATTAAAAGATATAATATATTTACTTAATTTCAAGGTATCTGCATGAAAAATGAAGGCTATTTTTATAGGGTGTTAAAATAGATTATGAATATTTAAACTAACCTAAAATAAAAGAAAATAACGTTGAACTACCCTCTATAGACCATTCCAGAATGACGTCACTGACAGGTCGGCAAAATTTGCTGGGAGGCACCCAAACCAATTAATTTTCACGTTGTCCATATGTAAACACAATAATCCAAGGTTTAAACGAACTTAAAACAGTGAAAAATGCCTCATTTTTGTTGTGTTATTAAGTGTTTAATGCGTGATAATGTCTAATTTTTTCCAAATCATGCTGCTTTGACCAACAGAGGAAATAATTTAAAAGCATTATCTAATGTTCGAAGAGAAGTGTGGTTCAAAGCTTTGAAATGAAAGGCCCCTGTATGAAAGTGAGAGTAAAAAGAAACGAATTTGTTCCAAAGACTTTATAACTGGTAAGTCCGTTTTGCCAAATTACCTGCAAAATTATCATTTATTGAGTTTAAATTAGCGAAAGATACGTTTTTGTTTTTAAGACGAATTATGTTAATAGATAAGTCTAATTCAGCCAAAATTTGGGATATTCTTCCTGTCTTTAACCCTACAAGTCATCTTCTAGATTTGGCAGATTAAGAAAAAGATTTAAAAATGAATCAGAGGTTTGTTATTTATACTAAGATATATACAAGCGTATAAAGTATTTTTATTTTTAGTTAAAGATGTTACTATAAAAGATGAAAATCGACCAGTGAATTTTCATAATCCTCCAATCGTTAATCAACTTTATTCATTTTAAATCGTCGAGATAGAAGACGATAAACCCAAATACACGACAAGGATTGCACTTCTGGAAGATCAGCTGAATAAGAACGATAACAGGGCTGTGTTCAGATCAAATATATACCAAGAATATTTTTCGTCTCGGCTGTTATAAGTCTCGGCTGAGTATGCCTATAATACAAGAACTGTGGATTTTGAAATCCTAAGATATCAGTTGAGCCTCTATGAGAAGGGTCCTTGGTACATGAGTATAAAGTTGTTTAATAGGTTGCCACTTGAAGTCAAGTTAATAGAAGTAAAGAGTAGTTGCACAATCGAAAAATTTGTTAATTTGATAGATAAGAGATTTGAATCTGAGAGATATGGCTCATCTCTCAGATTTCCTGTAGACAAGTCAATAAATATTGTGTGACGTCATTTCATTTTCTGTATATATTATTTTGTATTTTTACATTTGTATGTCACATTCCTTGAAGTAAAGATTATTATTATTATTAACTACTAATAAATGTAGATTTATTTAAATATAACACGATTTAAAAAAAATATGTGTTTATTTTTAATAGTATAAACCTTGGTTTATAAAGTTTAAATATTATAAATTATATTAAATAATATCTGAAACTATCAAATCAATCCATGAGTTAAACCTGGAAGAAAAGCTTAACCACTTCACATAAAATTGTTTATTATTATTTTTCTGGTGGTGACCTACCATTATTTCAACTAGATCAATACCAGGAGACTTTGTCTTCTGTAATTCGCCCTCATAAAAATACCCCTTAATTGGTTGACCTATTGATTCTAGGATAATTAAAATTGAGGATTAAAGAAAATTAAGAATTAAAAAAAATATGTCTATAACGCTATAAAAGACTAAAAACACAAAGAAACGAATGCAAGTTAATGGTTTATATACGGTTTGTATGCCTCCCAGCGAAAATGGCGGATCTGTCAAAGTCACGTGTTCTGGAATGGTCTATTAATTGTTTTTTTTTAAATTATGTTTATTTTTTCTTCTAAATGGTGTTTTTTTATATCAAGTTTAGCTGCAAACAAAATTTGTCAATTGTTAATTATGTTTTATATGTGGTGTTATCATTTCCAATGTCTCTGATAGTTGCAGCGATTGCGAAATCTGTGAGTTTTTTCTTAAATAGAATACCCTCTATATTTATAAATCATATGATCATCTGGCTTCCTATGAGCTTCTGAAAAAAATATATTTTTCATTAAAAGATAATTTTTTGCTCTTCACGTTTTTTGAAACACCCTGCATAATAAAAGCAAAATAAAAGCTTAGTTTATTTTTTTTCTAGTACTTCACTCTAGTAGTGTTGATGTTCGTAGCCGAATTCTTGCTGGGATCGCTTGCCTTCGTTTACAGAGATAGCATCAAACACGCTCTCACGGAAAAACTACAAGATGGCTTGATGCACCACTACAACATGAGTAGTTCCCCTAATAATTTAGTGGAAACATGGGATGAAATACATACCACTGTAAGTTTTTTAGAGAAAGCACAACTTTTTAATTTTAAATGGAGCTGCATATCTGACTTTTTGTTTGGGAAAATTAATAAATATAAGATCTATACAATGTTCTTTATCAACAATATGTTCAGCAACGCCAAGATTTATCCGGTCTACCATATCTTATCAGAGCTAAATGTTCTTTAAATCTAGTTAAAAGTGATCTAGTTTGCCCAAACATATTTCGATTACAATCTTTACATGAATAGAGATACAATGATGTGATTTTCACATTACTTTGCTACTTTTTTATGAAACTAAATATGCTACACATAGGTTTGCCCTAGCTTCCTTAGTTCCCGAAATACAGGGCGAATTTGTGATGCGCAGTAATGAATAGATCTTGAGTACAGATATGATGCACAGTAATGAACGCAACGTCTACCGGCAGCCAGACGGTCCGCACTCTGTTCAGGAGAGCATAGCAAAAGAAATATTAAAGAATCAGCTTACTTAAAATTCTCTCTCGAAAACGTTGCTAGCTTTTAGACTATAAGTAAAACACCGAAATCGTTATGGAAATTAAAACATTAAATGACAGCAATCACAAGCAAATCGTATATCCGATGAACGGAGGCATGAAAATGCAATAAATTTAAAAATTGCGTAATTTTCTAACCAATCAAAGTCTTTAAATTCAACCAATAAAATTAATATCTATCATCATCGTCCGACAACGGATGCATGAAAATCAAGCCAAACTCAACAATTTTGACAATATTACTAATTTCTTATTTTCGTTTAGTTTTTAAATGTTTATTCAGGTAACAAGCTACATGAACTGGCACATGATAGACGCCTGGCCAGAAAACAGATGGGTACCTGACAGTTGTTGTTTGCCAGCGGATTATGGACCAGGTTGCGGAAGAAAGCCTAATGAAAGCATTTATGAACCCGGCTGTTACGAAAAAGATTTATAGTTAAGTTTAAGGATATGAACTGCTGGTTGTGGGTTTGTTGGGACTATCAGTAGCATTTGTTCAGGTAAACTTTAATAATATTGTGAGATTTCTTATAATTTTTAATAAATATTATATGATCGAAAAAAAACGGCCTCAAAGACGGCTAAGGAATGAAAATTGATGATAATTTTAGCGAGGTCAATGGAGTACTTTATATGGTAGAAACTCATATTCAAATGCCACTAAAAAAAGAAAACATTCGACCAATGTGTACTACCAGTCACGACTTCTGTTATCGGGCCATAAAATCGTCAAAAGACATCTCCGAATCAGGGGGATCAAAGCTGCAGGTTCTCACGGTCCCAGCACGATCTTCTATTTCGCCTTGGTAGGGGCTCAAACGGTTGAAATGGACTACCCTCGGTTTTCCTTTTGGCAATTTTTCTGATACGGTATACGACGTCATTAATTCTATCCATGACTTCGTATGGCCCTTCCCACGAGGTTTGTAGCTTCGGAGATAAACCACGACGTCTCTGCGGGTTATATAGCCACACCAACTTCCCTGATTGGTATCCTCCATGCTCAGCTTGAATGTCGTCGTGTTCGTTCATTCGGTCACTAGCACTTGAATATTTAGGCGGACTCTCTGATGAATGTCGTCCATCCTTTGACGTAGTGTGTGGACATAATCTTCTTCGGCGACTTCTTCTCCCGGTCGGCAACCAAATTTCAGATCACAGGGTAGGCGCACTTCCTGTCCCATAACGATGCTGGTTGGAGTTTGCCCTGTAGAGTCTTGGACGGATGAACGGTAGGCCAACAGGAACAGGTGAAGAAATTTGTCCGTCTCTTTGGTGGTCAGATACTACTTTGGCCAGATAACGGTTGATAGTTCTGTTCAACCATCCCATCGGATTGTGGATGTAGAGCAGTCGTCCTGGTTTTGCGGATGTTCAGGACTTTACAGACGCCTTGGAACAGATTGGACTCGAAGTTTCTTCCCTGATCAGAATGAAGCTCCATGGGAACACCAAACCTGCAGATCCATTCTTTAACAGGGCATCAGCAATGGTGGACGCTTCTTGATTTGGCAACGCGTAGGCTTCGACCCATTTGCTGAAGTAATTCATTACTACCACAATGTATTTGTTGCCATCGTTCGTCTCGGGGAAAGGACCAGCCACGTCGATCGCTATTCGTTCGAAGTGACTGCCAACATTGTACTGGCGCACAGGGGCTTTACCACGCTTTTATGGCCCATTGATGGCTGCGCAAATGTCACATTTCTTACACCAAGCCCTCACGTCTTCTTTGCAGTTCACCCAGTAGAACCGTTCACGCAGCTTGCCAAGTGTCTTGGTAACACCAAGATGTCCACCGCTGGTTCCATTGTGAACTTCCTCCAAGACTTCTGGGACCCTCTTCTTTGGAATGACGATGCCTTCTCTCTTCTTGTCCCTCCGGTCTCTCGATCACACGGCGAAGTAGTCCGTTATCTATTACCCTTGATTATGTATAAATAGATGTACAATGAGGGCTTAGTACAAGCCCGTCTTCTAGGTGGCGCCTTGCCCGTTCTGAATTTTTGTATTCCCCTACGATTTTCTTTGAGGGGAATCCGTTAAACACGCCCATCGTTCAAAAATGGAAGGGGCGAGGTCACATCTATTGGACCACTTATTAGCACGTTTCACGCATGTTTTACGAAAATAGCTTTATCCTTGTTTGTTTCAACTGTGACAAGAAGAAAAAAGGAAAAAAGTTATATTCGCTTCTAAATTCGGCAGTTTTGTTGATCTTTCTCGACTTGTAATTTCGTTTCGTTTAGGTTATGTCTTATAAAATAAATATTTATAAGCTTTTGAATTGAAATATACCTTAATGCATATCTGAGTAATTAAAAAATGATTTTTTCGTCCCTCGCGAAGAAACATAAACAGTATTTGTGAAATTTGGATTAGAAACTATTATTTTATTAGTAGTTTATTTTGTTGTGTTTAAGTGTTGTGTATTTGTACCTACTGGATAATATTTTCCAACATATATTTAATTAAGCAAAAAGCATCTGTTTTACAGGTAAGTAAATACTGTTCATATTTATTTCTAAATTCATATAAATTTGTTTTAAATCACTCTTGGGAAAAATGTTATAGAGTCTGAGATAAGTTTAATAATAAACATTTGATAGATTGATAGATAGATTAAACGATAATGCCCAGTTTGTAAAAGTTTAAAGCTTGATTTTATGCTATAAATTGTTTCATTTCTCACTTTGCTTTTTTGGAATTGTCAGATATATTGTGTGTATTTTATAATTTTTTCCCAGAATTTTCTTAACAACTTGATAATAAAATATTGTTTATCTACAGTCAACCCTGTGTTTAGATAAGCTTCATATCAGATTTCCTATTTTTATATTTTCATAAAATCATATTTTTTGTAAAATAATGCTTGCAAAAATAGCGTAAATTTGACAGGGAGGAATTTTTATAGATATACAGGATGATTCAAATATATATTTACTTTTAAAGTTATTAGTTATGAGCAAAGGTTATGAGTTTGTGAAAAGAAAGGCTATATTTGTATTTTTTTGCTTGAGGTGGATTTGTTATTAAATTGTCAAATCCAAAAAATACCATAATGTCGTAGTCGTATAGAGTTCATTTTGACCAAAGAATATATTTTGTCCCTTTTTGGATTGAATTTTATTGTTTATATAATAAAATATATATTTAAAAACCCTCTCTTTCTAAGTTAAGTTAAAAATAGGAAGTAATATCATTTGACGTTTTTACTGGAACTAATTTAAGTTAATAATTAATAATTATATAATTTTTTTTTTTTTTTTTTTTTATAAAATTGTTTATTATATATACAGGATGAGTCAAAACTAGATATTATATTTTTCTTTGCTATTTCAAATGAAACACTGTATTTTTTTATATCATAAATCAACAAAGATTTTATGCAACTTTTGTTTTATTAAGATCTATATCCCAAATTAATAGTTATTAAAT